CAGATGAAGTTACATTAACAAAACAATGCAGCCTTGTTATGCAATAACAAGCAGCCATCTGGACCTTCTCTGGGGTAGGAGAAGTGCGCAGCTACACCAGAATGAAACGTCTTCCTCTGTTGCTTCTGCAAGACGCTATTTGATTGTGGGAACTTTATTGCGTCTTTGTTCTGTCAGAGAGGAGGTAGCATCCTTCCTCAAACACATGAAGACAAAGAGGAAATGGGCTGTGTGTTCTTCACTGGTTATTGTTGCCACTGTTTCTGTCCCACTGGCTGAATGGCAATTACTGCTGACTTCCTATGCGGCGCAGACCCGGCCCGCTGTGGGTGCCCTGACCCTGCAGTATCCAGAGGGGAGAGACAGGAGCTGTCAAAACTCACACCTCTCCCTGCTCCTCCAGCTGCTGCCCCCACGGGGCTTGCTGCACACTCCCTGCTAATCAGCTCCATCTCATCTCTGGAAGGAACTGGCCCCCAAGTAGATGTAGGCCCTTTTCTCACCTCTGCTACCTAGCGCACCTTTGAAGTCCTGTGCAAGTGTTAGTTTATGGCTAGAGAGGGTACGATAAGATCCCAAAGAAAGGTGATAAATTAGCTCTTCGTCCCACATTTAAAAGGGGAAATGGCAGGCTGCTAAAAAAATCCACAGAATCTGTTACAGTTCTAACACGTAAGAGCTAAAGCACTTGAGAAGCAAAAACATTGTGGTGTCAAATCTGTTAAGTACCTTCATTAAAGCAGCATGTTTGTATTAAGCTTGCTTCCCACACTGAGGTTCCACCTGAACAAGCATTTGGTCAAACTGTAGCCGCGGGACTTGTTGGAATGAAAACACAAGTTTCTAATCTGATAAACTGCAAGTGCAACAGATGTAGACTACACATGACAAGCTGAGACAGAGCGAGCACTTTTGCTCTCAGAACACACCTTTCACAGGCATGCCAAATGAAACACTGGGGATTTTAAATAGATTGATTAGCAATTATCACAACAGAATAAGAAACTGTTGCCCGATGTGGACACAGCCAGAAAACAAGTCCAGACATTACTGATTGTAACCATTTGCTGACCCCACTTTAACGATGAAATTAAGAAGAAGAACCTGTGTGTCAGATGTAATGGCTGGAGGTTGAGTTTGACAGTGTTGGAGCCTGAAGTTTGATGTATTAGTTTTCTGTTGGTTGTCTGGCTCACATGTCTAAACCCGCCCAACACTTGCACACACTCAGGATCCAATGACAAGAGATCCATCTGTCTTCAGAGACAAGTGTTACATTACATATTGTTCACTGAAAATATGTCAGTGAAAGTCACTAGACTGTGAAACCAGTATCCTACAGATTTGGGAAACTCCAGACACATTTTGAAAAATTAAAAAAACACCCAGAGCCCCAAAAGATGTATTACTTTTTTTAAATGTATTTAGACATTCAAAATGACATCTATAGAATTAACAAGTTTCTATTAGAACCTTTCTTTGCTGCTGACAATGTCAGAGAATAGGAACTCATTCATGTTCACCTCACACTGTGTCTGTGACAATATGCATCCTTATCTTGAATAACAATTATCACCCCATTTCCTGGAACCATTAGATCTTCTTTCCAACTCCCACTTCCTACAGAGAGTTTAAATATCAAGTTCTGCAGCTCGAGAAAACAAAAAAAACACAATTCTTTGAAAATGCATTTTCACTCATTTTGTGATGAGCTTGAGGATGAACTGAAAATCTTTAACTTTATCATATAAAAAAAGTGTCATCCCATTTATAAAACAGAATCTACGGCCTGTTGTCATTTCCACGTCTGCAGCAGCTCAGTGGAATTTTTGCCGCTGCCACCCGCTGACATAATTTGTTTCACAGTCACCACCCAGCAGCATGAATCAGATGTTGACACTCTAATTTCATGCACACATGGGTGTTTGGCTGAGCCAGCCTTGAATCCCCCTGCCTCTCCCCTCAGCTGCCCACTATACCTGACCTTTGCCCCCTGACACAGCCATGTAATGTATTTAACCTGGGAGTCACACATTATGACTGATGCCTTAACCATAGAGTCTCATAATGATGATGTGCACCATAAGGAATTCAGTTGCAGGATAAAATCACCATGCTCTAACATTTTATTGTGATTTCAAATAGAACAGAAATATAATCTGTAAAATGATCTAATGAATAGTAACATTTACTACAAGCAGGTGGTGTATTATGTGTAAAATGTGTTTAAAGAATGATAGCATGCATTTAGTTGCTTCTTTCCTGTCAGGAGAATACAGCGTTGCTCTATTTTCCACTGAAATAAATCAGTTGACTAGGTCCATAGCACCATCTGAAAATATTTGTTTTGTGTTGTTGTTTTAATAAAAAACTACAAGCACTTGCAAGAAATAATAAAATATAGCCACTAGCCATTTTTCAAAATGTCAAAAGGCTTGTCAAAGATTGACACATTTGCCGAGCATAATTAATGCAAGTTTTGTCTATCACTGATTATTTTTCTAAAAGTCAGTGCTGACAGTCTGCTGTGGGAGAGGAGCGGAGCTACCATTTGGTGTTTATCCATGTCCTCATTCTGTCAGCTCAAAGAAACAGAATAAACTACTTTTCAACACTAGTGACCATTGGTATAACCGTGACAATGTACGGCAAAAAAGGGAAGGCAATTCCCAATATCTCTCCCTCACAACAGACCTGACAGCTCCTTGTATGAGTGAGCATAAATCCACAAGATAAACTCATAAACAAATAAGTTGTTTGTGTGCATGGAAGTAGACAACGGCCAGGGTTTATGAAACATGTGCTCTGTCTTTGACAAATATCCAAACAATAAACACACAGTAAATAACAGCACCCTGTCCGTATCACTTCCCTACTTGAGGTTAAGTTGAGTTTATTGCGGAGGCCACTGCCTGCATGCATTAAGCAAATCATAAATTATACATGCTAATTACCTTGGGCCTCCACTTTAATGAATTATTTTAATTAAACTACAACATTGAGGTTTTGCATGTGGTCTATATTTCATCCCCTGCCTAAGATGACCTTCTTCTTTGTCTAAGTGGAACATAGTTGAGGGAACAAGGACAATGCAGACTTGGACGACTAAGTTCATACTGTTGCTACTGAAAATATGGAAACAATCATCTGTATAATAGGCAGAATCTACAAGAAAATGATATATTTTTATTATGCAAGAAAACACTGGGGCCATGTTTGCAGATTTAAAAAAATGTAGTGCCAGAAACAGCATTGTTTAAAGGTTTTATTAAGAAAAAACTGTTTCCACACTAATTATTGCAATTTCAACGTATCAGGTTTCCAAGTAGTTTGCTATGATGAGGTCTAATATGAGTTTCCTCTCTCTCCCGCCTGTTACCTGTGGTTTCCCACTTTTTCTCTTAGGGTTTTAATTAATAGGCTCACTTTAACATTTTGAGCAAAAGCTGAAGGTGTTTATTAACATGTTTGAGTGCCGAAAGCCTTTTTTTAAACTGACTTCATATCCTTGATGTGCTACATTTCAGTAAATCCCCTGGAACATCTGCACTGTGTCTTGAAACATTATTATAGGACGACAGGATGTTGCATTTTGAATATTGCATTTATGTTCCAGAGCAGCACATAATACATCAAATTAAAACTTTTGGCTATTTTTACATTTCACATTTTGGGATGAATATACAATGAATGACTTACACAGGTTATTTTAAGACATTTGTCTATTTATATAACATCAACATTTTTATTTATAAGAGTGCAATATACACCAAAGAAGACAAGTACACTGAATTCCAATTGAATAGAAAGAAATCACAAGTTTAAATGTGTAGTTATGTTATTATTTTTAAATGTTTTCAATGAAACAGTTGTGTGTGTGTGTTAATATAGTTTAAATTGAATTGAATTGCCTAACCATACAAATGTAAATCTGATTTAAAATTAAAGCTTGTAATCTGCTGTTGCAGTTTCAATACATTTAATCATCCAGAGTCAGGACTAATGTTACACACACAGATGCACAAAGTAGGGAGAAAAAAAACTAACACTGTTGTCCAAACAGTCCATGGGGGAGGGGTGGATTTAAATTCCAAAAGGGTCTTGCAGCTCGTTTCCTAGTTCCCCAGTCAGCAATGTGTTTGTGAAAAAATCAGTCTTTTTGTCTTGCTGAAAAAAGGCTAAATCTACATTGGTGGCCCAGTCTAAGTTTGCTATTCTTTGCACTTTCAATTCAAGTGAATGAGGGAGAATGAAGTGGCCCGAGACCCTTTATTTGATCTACTCGATTGCATAAAGTGACGGAATTCTAATGTATTTGTTTAATACCCCGAAATAGGCTGTTGCTTTCTATAGGGGGAGGCAAATAAAGCGCGTTATTTTTTTTAATCCTGCAAACAAATCGAATAAAGGAATGTAAAATATATTATAAAATGTGTTTACATTTTTTTTTTTCATCTGTTTTTTTAACCTGTTGAATAAAATTCCCACGATTTTTGTAGTCGGAAAAAACCTACATGACACGTATTTATTTTCGTATTTTCAAAAATCTGCAACAAGATAAATTCGGACATTGTTTGCATGTTTTAAAATGTTTATTTATTATTGGGCTTAATTGTGTTTAGCCTACAGAGTGATGAATGAGGCCAGTTGTCTGCGCTGTGACCATGGCATCGCAACTCCATGCATCCTAATCGACTGCACGATTCATTTCTCTCCCACTGCTGCTGAGCCACTCTCACTCTCAATTCATACAGGTCTGAAAACAGGACCAATTAAAAATATAATTTTTATATAAGTAAGCATTATTTTTGCTTTACTTAATATTGTCATTTCATTAAAATATAGATGAGAGAAAATTCAAGTTTAAAAAAAAAATGTTGCCAATTGAATAGTACCTGTTTATATAAAAGACCTATAAATAGTCATAATACAAATAATAATAATATGTGACAGTGTCTTACATTAAACCTCCAGAAACACGTTTGATTGTTTACTTCACTTTTAATGAGAAAATATTTCGATGACCATTTTTTTCCAATTCATTGCAGATTTTGCACACTTTTCGAAAGCACGCATGCTTGCAAAAAATAAACAAACAAAAAACAAACAACAACATTTACAACAACAGTACCAACACAATTTTTTAGAATGCATGCTTTACCTAAAAAAAACAAAAGTACAAATGTACAGCATCTGATACACATGGTCACCACAGCCTTTTAAATTAAATTCTTCACAGAACATTTTCTGGAAAATAGATATCTAAAACATAGAAACTAAAAAGTGCATTTTACAACATTTCAGTATCAGTTATTTGCAATATTCACATCTTGCATTCTGAGGAAGTCTCATACTACTTTTCCATTTTGAAAAGATTTGATAACTCATTTTGTTTTCTTTTTTGTACAGGGATGGTAAGAACACATCTAAATCCTATTCCTATTTGGTATACCCTTATCCATCATTCCAGTATTAAAAAGCAAACAAAAAAAACACAGGCATTGCCTCGCAATTTCATTGACATTACAGTGGTCACACAGAAACGGTGCAAAAGTTTTGCTATTTGATAAAACTGAAAAACTGCCACGGGAATTGCAAGCACTTCAAATGAGAGTTGATGGTGCCAAAACAACTCCACTTTCAACACTCACATTTCACAATAAACTGAAAAATAGAACTATCAAATAATTTATATTTTCAAGAGCAATACTTCGCTGTGCGATCCTGTGCTGGACTTCTATGACACAATTTAAAGCGACACATTCAACACATACACAAATAATTCGATATGCAACTGCAACTCGCCTTGATAGTTTCCGACGACAGAAAATATAAACTTTGGGATTGGTAAAGCGGCCTGCGAGCCGGCCAGCAGCTGGTTCTACTGGGGAGAGTCCCGCTGGTCAGTGCACCGCCACAGACTGCAGTGTGGAGGGGCTCGTCAGGGTCTCGCTCGGGGTCGCAGGGCTGCTTTGGCTCGTCGCTGTCTGAGGGGACGTCGGGCTCAGAGACTGCGGAGAGTTTGATAGAAACGCGGGGATGTGTGTAGGTAACGCCGAGAAGCCGGCCATGGAGGTCGGGGTGGGCTTGATGGGCAAAGGAATCGCCGGTAAGGACTGTCCGCCGTGACACAGGGACTTGAGGGGCATGCCATAGGCACTATAGTCGCCGCTCGCCATGGAGATCGGTGCCACCGTGTCAATCATGCTGGTGTTGTACATGTGGGGCCAGGCTGTCGTCAGCTGGTTGTGCAGCGGGTACCCGGCAGACATGGACTGCATGGTGGAGAACGCCAGGCTTCCCGGGACCTTGTACTCTCTGGCGATGATATTCTCGATGGCGAATGGATGCTTAAAAGTTGAGGACTGAGACACTCCGAGGTTGTAAGATGACATCTGGGGCAGGTGTGTGCCAGAGGCTGCCAGGGCGCTCAGCCTCAGCTTGGCTTGCTGCTGGAGGTAATGGGCAGCATCCGACTGCTTACTCTGGGCCAAGTGTTCGGCGGACATCAACAGTTTGAACCTTTTGCGGCGTCTCAAGAAACTTCCATTCTCAAACATGTCCCCGCAGCTGGGGTGCAGAGCCCAGAAACTGCCCTTGCCTGGCTGATCCGGGCGCCGGGGGATTTTAATGAAACAGTCGTTGAAGGACAGGTTGTGTCGCAGAGAGTTTTGCCACCGCTGAGTGTTTTCCCTATAATAAGGGAATCGATCCATGATGAACTTGTAAATTTCACTGAGAGGCAGCATCTTCTCCGGGCAGCTCTGGATGGCCATGGCTGTGAGGGAGATGTAGGAGTAAGGTGGCTTCTGGTCGCTGTACGTGTTTCTTCCAGGGCGAGGCATCCTCGATATTTTCAAAAAAAGCAATTAAAAAAAGTAGTCTCCCTTAGTTCCTTGACGAAAGCTTCCCGCTCTTCATGAAAACAACCACGGAGAAAAGTTGCAATGCCGCTCAGGCTGGAGTTGCGTTGTGCGTAAAACAGGCAGGTTGAGCGCCTCTGCAGTGTGCAGGCGGGCGGACGGTGCACATTTATGGAGGGAAGGCTGCTGTAAGTCTTGCTTGCAAAGTAAGTCAGCTTGTCCCGCTAGCAGAGCTGAATAGACTTCATCTGGCGTCCTTGATAAGACGAGCTAAGTGGATGCCTCCATGGCCTTCCTCTAACCATCTGATAGTTTTATGTAGTGACATGAGCAGAAAAGACCCCTGTAGAGGCGCTCCATTAATGTGCCACCTCTTTGCTATCACATGACAATTGCCATGGGAGGAGGGGGCTGGGAGGAAGGCATAATCTGGTTTCATTTACACCTATTTACATGGACACCTTGGGCCAATGGAAATCATTTCCATTTGAAGACAGAAAAAGGGGTGAAAAGGCTCGGCAACCGGAATTGAACTGCGATGGCACTCAGTGTGTGAAGGTATGCGCTAATACTTTTTCAGCGGACTTTACAGTATAATAACAATTAAAAAAACAAAAGTATTTTAACGGAAACGAGAAAAAAAAGTCGGCATATTGTAATTTAATTATAGTATGTGATAAAATGTGCTTTTAACTATTTGTGCAGTTGTTAAGGCAGGTGTGTATTATATTTGATATAAGGATTTATTTATTAAAAACACTGTTTGTGCAGTGGTGTGTGCAATGAGTGCAGTTTTCAAGTGTTAACCGTTTTTATGATGTGGATTTGAGTGAACAATAATCTAACAGATAAAATGTTATTAAAATGCATATCGCTCCCCTCTAATTACAGCCTGATATTGTTTACGAAATGCCATACAAAATAATTTGCCATGAGCAAGTTTGTTGATGAGCCTACTATTAGTTTTCTCAGCTAATTTGGCCCAGAGCTGCGCAGAGGAAGTAGACGTTATGAAAACATCAACACAATGCAAACAACGCTGTTCAAACTGAAACTTCATGAGGCAATCAGGTCTATTGTGTTTATGTAAAGAAGATCCAAAAGTACTTCAGAAATGCAAATAAACCCTTGACGATGGTGTGGTGAAAACTGTATAAAATATCCATAAGTCAATTATATGAATGTGAAAACCAAATGGGAAGCCTATTTTGAGCTATTGCTATTCAAGCTTTTGGCCAGGGCCACCTTTCCGCTTGGAGGGTTTGCAATGCCTGGGACCACACACACGCACACGCAGATTTGCTCATAATTTATGCTAATTTCCCCCCATAAATCCACAATGCACCCCATCACCAGTCTGACGGATTACGAAAAGAATCGCATTGCGGGGGACACCGAGCTATTTTCACCCAGAAACCGAGGCAGGCTGAAGAAGAGCTTCCCCCGTGCTATAAGCACTGTGTAACAGCCTGAAAGCCTGAACTAATACAAACAAATATATCGAAAAAAGGACCATTCCATACAAATTATCCAGTTTTAGTAAATCATTTTATACTATACGTTATTTAATAAAAGGCCTATTTTAAGTCATCTTTTGTGTCAAGTGTCTTGTCTAAAACTTCCAGTGTGCAGTTTTTTTTCTCCTGCAGAGTGGCTTTTAACACCTGTCATTTCCCATTAATGTTGAGCTGAAAAGGTTTTTTTGTCCTAAAGGAAGTGGCCAAGTCAACCCATCTCAAACTCCGCGGATAATGACAACACACTGCCAAGTACCAAATATCTTCTGACATCCAGCCTATTCATTCCTTTAAAAACATAATAGTATTGGGTGTCACTCAGATTATTATGTCCATTTGCATGCAAATAATTCAGATCGGTAGACTGACTTGGTTACGTGCAAATAATATGATTGTGAAATGTGTTTAATATGTGCTGATACAAATCGCTCTGCAAACAATGAAGGATGCAAATCCTTTGAATTCCACCATTCGCAATTTTCCGCATGATGTTTAATCTTACATTATACTCTTGAAATGACTAATCTTTGTCTCTTTTATTTGTTCATGTTTGCACTGCTAACTTGCTGCCACGCCAAGTTAGTGCCTTCCAAGTTAACCTGCAACACTCGCATTAACCAGCCGAGTCACAGAGCAGCAGTAAGAGTTTTTCTCTGCTCTCACACACACAGACGGTGTGGCTTTTTGAGCTTCAGGGTTATGGGATATTGGTAGACCTTTTGTCCCCGTCGAATGCACACACTGAAAATACCACCATGACTCTGAATCTGAATAGGGTTTTTAGCTGCTCCGAAACTCCTGAGTTCAAGCAGCAGTAGATCAAGTCTGCACTATGTTTGGTCATTTGTAGAAACCCGAACAAAGGTTGGGATAAGCCAAATTGCATTGCACTTGTGAACCGTGCCTCAGCCTGAAGTATCCTTTATAGCAGGAGGGGGACCAAGAACAATTTTGTGTGAGCTTTCAAAAAAAGAGGAGCGAAAACAAAGGGCACTTTCTGAAACATCTTAAAGTAGAGTAGTGAGGCGTGACATTCCCAGGGTGACGAGACACAAAAGCTGAGGTCATGGGGATGAAAAAGAGAATCAAACAGCCACTTTCACACGTCTGCCCTCCTCTGCTGCACCCACGAACACAATAGGAAACAAATGTTGTTAAAAGAGGATCGATGCCATTCATTCTAAAGCAGCGAATGATAGCCAAACAATATTGTCACACTGAATCGAGTTGAGATATGCTGCCACCCAGACCTACGGAGAGGGAAAGATCTGCCTTTCAGGGAACGATTAAGAGAAATTTAAAGCTGAGGGTAATTACACAGGAAAACATTTATTCAAGGGATGAGCTTAAGTCAATATTAATTAATAGCAGAAAAATAATCCACATTTGACCTGTGTTTTTTATTTAATGTATTGAAAACGTAGGTGTACATTTTTCTTGGCACTAAAATATATTTTTAGGTGATTTTTTTTTCTTCTACTTTCCCTTGCAGGTTCTCAGAGCAGGTTGCTAACTGTAGGCAATGTATATTTAGGCCACTAACCAACCTATAAATAGACAAATCATCGCTAGAGGTGAACAAATTCGCATCATTAAAACAAACATTTATAATCCAAGTTAATTATGAGTGTAAATTCCCGCAATTTTATTTTTATTTTTTTGTCACGCAGATTATCATGAGCAGGCCTGTAGATTTAAAGGGATTTGTTATCTACCTGGGTTTTTGTATTAAAACACACGTTCAGTGAAAACAGATACACCTTGTTGTCTGCTGCAAAATGTGACTCTCAAACCCTTCCAATAGGCCTGTGCTGCTAATTAAGTCCGTGGTGATTTCAGCCCCCAGAGATGTTTTACGGTGCAATTAAGGACGCGCTGATGATAAGGTATGAATATTCAGCGGAATGACAATTAATTAGCAGACAGAGGGCTCTCACAAAAACCTCCTCAATGGCAAATTTAGCCCATATGACGGAATATTCACACTATTTAAAGGCCATCTTTAAATGCTGCCCTCTTGAATATGATTTCTTTTCTTTTTTTACCAGAAAAGGAAATCAGAATAATGCAGAATTTATATGTTCGAAATCAAAGCATGGTTATTGTGTTTTTGTGTGTGTTTATTTTATCAAACAACGGGATTATAGTCCTGCAGCAGCCCGGCCCATTAGTTGTTTCTGGGTGACATCAGAGGGAATTACCTGGAAGAAGACCTCAGGGCATTGACAACATATGCTCGGATTATGCTTAATGGTCTAATTACATAAATTAGGTATTCATTATACGGCACATCATCTGTAACAGATATCTCAATTGTACAGGCGGGAACATCTAATTTAATTTGTCTGTGAATGGTTTCATGCAATTAAACACTGGAAGACGTACAAAAAAAAAAAGGTAAAAAGGTTGAGTGTGAACTGTTTTTTTTATTTAATTGTTTTGCCAGGGCAACAAGGGAATTTTTAATTATTTTTTAAATGTTATTTAAATTGATTTTGGACAAAATAATTTCTTCAGAAAACAGTTTCACTTTTTGACCATCAGGTGGGGACAGGATCAGCAGTCAGCATTTATTGGTGCTTCTATTATGTTTGACAATCTGTATATAATCTTATGTGCCTGAACATAATCTATGACTTTACAGGTATAATTAATAGTTAAATATGTCACTGTTATTTGGAAGAATACATTTGACAGTTTTGGACAATACTAAAACACATCTATCTACTGTATTGCCATGAATTTGATTATGCAGGTGTGTGTGTGTGTGTGTGTGTGTGTGTGTGTGTGTGTGTGTGTGTGTGTGTGTGTGTGTGTGTGTGTGTGTGTGTGTGTGTGTGTGTGTGTGTGTGTGTGTGTGTGTGTGTGTGTGTGTGTGTGTGTGGGAGGGAGGCTGTCCCAGTTCATTGACTCCATATGGTGAGAAACAGCAGGACTGATGAGTGTACTACCTGAGGTCCGTGTTTGTGCTGTCGACTGAAACCAAAACAGAGGCCCCTGACCCACTGCATAATTCATTACAGACAAGGCAGTGCCGCTCACTCTCTCATTTCATCATTCCAGCTTTTGTTGACAGATGACTCCGTAACAACAAATCATCCTATTAAACTACACATGATACTCAGCTGACAGATATTAAAGGGAAGGAGCAAAGAGCAAGAACAAAGTCGCTGCAGGATGGTGAGACAGGAAAAATGTAAAATGGGCAGAAAGATAAGAGAAAAAACAGAATAGCAATATAACCGAGTCCATTTCAATATTGAAAAGAAAATGCAGAAACCCTCACTATACTATGTATCACTGCATAATGAACTACTTTCATATGAACAATAATTCTCAGTTACTGTATTGTTGAAAATGAGAGAATAATGCAATATTAAACAATATGAGATCATAATATATTAACAACAAACTCAACAGAACAGTGAACTTTCACCATTAAGCAGAAAGATAAAAGAACAAAAAAAGAAGTATGAATTAACATAGTTCAATCACATACAAAGAGTCACCTTTCACAGAGGATAACAAATGAGATGGAAGGCTTTGAGGTGGATAAGTATGAATCTCTGCAGCAAGGATCACAGCATAATATAATATTATCAAAAGTATACCAAGTTTTGAGAGAAAGGCTTTTAGAGCTTCCCAGAACTGTGTACAACAAACCCAGATGGCAGGTGACTATAGCTTTCACTTAATCTAGTATAACAGGTGATATAGTATAGTATAAAAGTATAAACCTTTTTTTTCTTTTT